ATGAACGCGCTCCCCCCACCACGGCAGATCCTGCTTATCTTTTCTTTGCAGCCTTCTTCTCCCGCTAGTGCCTGGGCTTCCAGGGCCCTGTTTGCTTTGGATGGAGACGTAGATAAAAAAGATTATCGTTATTAATATCAAACGCAAACACTGGAATCAAAAGCACCTCGAGGCCTGGGCCGGAGCTCCTGAGGTCGCGGTCGCTTTCGGGGCCGGACACACACAATATTGCTTTCCTTTAATGAGAAACCTCCTTGAAGCCCCGCTTACTCCAAACAATTTCTCACGTTACTCTGTTTGGCCGAAGAGGACAAAGACTGCGGGAGGCGGGGGGAGCCGAACGCCATTTGGTAGGGCTAAAATATCCAGCGGGGTGTTTTCGTTCCCGGCTGCAGACTGCAGGAGAGATTTTTAACTCTCCGCTCCCAAAGCCTTCCGCCGGGGGAAAAGCAACTCTGCTGAATGCCAGTGAAGGTCTTAAATCATATGCGCCGTTTATTCTGTTTTTTAAAAAGCGCGAAAGTTTTTAATCTATCTAAAACTACAATATCAGTGGAAAAGTTGGTGACCATCCATACACAGTTGCCCAGCGCTTTGTAAAGTTTTCGAAAGTCCCCCCCCCACCCCAAGCAGGGTTTGCTTTATACCCACATTTACTTGTAAGTGTAGGTAATGTACATAGAACAATGTATATATGCATGAAATGCACCCACATAACTTGTAAGAAATAAGGAAATTATATTTTAGAGCAAACAATGATATTGTTTTGGAATCCGGAACGCTGCGGTGCAACCTCTGCCTGTGTGAGTTCTCTGAAGCAAATTAGGAACAGAACATGCAAGACTAAGTTAATAAATTTCTTTGTCGAAAACTCTCCAACAAACAGAACAATACAAGAGGAGTTGTACAACTAAGAACACAGGTGTAACAGAGGACAGAAGCTTGCAGCCGATTATGTCTTTGAATTCCGGTAAGTAACTAGTTAGTACTTGATACAACCTTGTTGTGAAAAGTCCAACTTTTCTGGTCCACCAAGTGCCTGAGTCCTTATTGGACACCACAGAAACCGAGGGGTCAGCATGAAAAAAAAAATGGACCCGCATACAATACAAGGTGATAAAAATCCAGAGTTGCACACAGCTCCCCATTCAGACGTCCATCCCTATCGGGCTAAACGATTTAATTCCTGGAAGTTACAACTACATTATTCATTGCATTGTTCAATGGTTGTCTTATGTTGCCAGATCGCTCTGTTTATAGCCTGAAACTCACAATAGGGCGGAAACCCGTCAGGTCACTCGTGCTGGCCCTTGTGTTCGGGCCACTCGCACTTTGTAACGAGGCTTTCATCGGGCCCTTACTTGTTTTTAACTGTCTCTCAAATAAATACATGTATTTTTGTATAAGTTTACATAGGTTTTTAATACTGGCCCTTTATCACACTTCTTTCTTACCCCTTGTGATTCTTGATTGATATAGCCTGTAACCCACCTTGAGTCTCAGCGAGAAAAGTGGACTACTACTACTACTACTGAATCGTTTCTTAATTAAGATTGATTGTTTTTTTAAAACTTCGGACAATTATCTTTTTGTGGCATTTGTTGTATAAAAAGAGCAGTAGAAGCAGTGGGATATAGTGGCCAAAGGCTGGAGTAGCATCGCAGAGATCATTTGGGTTCAAATTTCCCTCTGGTCCATTAAGCTCACCCGCCAGATCTTCCTCTAATCACCCTCTACCGACCTAACCTACCGCACAGGGTGGTTGTTACTAGGAGCCCCGACTTTCTTGGAGGAAGAGAGGGCGACAATATGAACGCGGGTGGTGGTTTGGCTCCCCTGGCCTGGGTCCCTCTCGTTGGAACCTGGCCTCGCCGACGAAGGGAGCTCAGCGCTGACTCTCGACAGCTGATGGGCCTGCCGCGCTTGCCGGCCTCTGAGGTGCCACCGGACTCGAACCTAAGGACCGGCTACTCTTTGCGAAACCTCCCCTTTGCCCCCCAGCCTGCCTGCGGTTGGCCGCCTGTCGTCGGAACGCACCCAGGAGGACACCTTCTGCGGCTGGGAGGACACATCTGTTTGCCTCCCAAGCGCCGCTGGACTCTGGAGTCCCCAAAGGCAGGCGCGGTTTTCTCCGCCGGGGATGAGTGAGCGTAGGGCTGAAGCCCTCCCCAGAACACACCCGTCTTTTCCGTGGACCTGGGAGAGCCCCGCAGGGGCGGGCGGGCGGCGGCGATTCTGTTCTCCTCAAGAGGCAGACCTGCCCCTCCTCACGCAGCCCCAGCCGGCGGACGTGTGGGGGGGGGGAGTTCGGACATTCGATCCTCCATCTTGCAGGCCCTAAGCATTGCCGGAGGGTGGGGGGGACGTGTTGCGGCGGCTCCTTGGTGGTCGCCTTGTCCCGAGATGATAAACAACTCAGGGCCCGCTTGTAAAGTTCCCGCTCCCGCCTCAGAAGCGGGTTGTTTTCTTAGCCTGCTAATAAGAGGCGCCTCGTTTTGGCGCCCTTTCGGCCACTTAACCCCTTCCTGTCAGGGGCCTCCTCCCCCGAGAGCCGACAACCTCCCGTCAGAGCTCGCCCAGCCCCCTCCCATAAATCCTGAGGGAAACAAGCCGCGGGGGGGGGGCCTTCCCCATCCGTCCTCCTCGCTACCCCCTCCCGATGGTGAGGGGAAGCCGCAGAAGGACGTGTTCCTTTCTTTTTAGAGGCCGTTTTTTAGTGAGGGAGCTGTGGTCGCCTCCCGAGAGCGGACGCGCTTGACTGCGTGGGAGACCTAGTTCACCCACCCCACCCGGTGGGTGCTAGAAGACGCGGGGGGATGCAGGCAGCGCCCCAGGGTCGCCAGAGGAGCGCGCCGCAAGGGAAGCCCGGAGGAGGCTGGGGGCCTCGTGTTCCATTCTGCCCAGGCCAAAGCAACCGGCCCGCCTTCTCCGAAACACTTACTCCCCGGCTGCTCCCTTCACTTCCCAAGAGGGGCTTCAGAGTGAGCGGCGAAGGACTCCCTCCCTCCCTCTGCCTCCAGAAAAGCAATCTGAAAGAAGCGCCGGGCTTCCCAGGCACTCGCGGCATCCCTGTTGAGCGGATACTCCTTTGCCTGAAATGAATCGTTTTGCTCCCTCAAAAGGGGTCCGAGCCTACAGGCCCTCCCCCCTCGCAGCACTTCAGAGTCCTTCCTCTCATCACGGGCAAAACTTCGCAACAGCCTTCATGCACAGATTTCCAACCAGTACAGACACAGAGGGTTTTTAACATTTATTTTACAGCCTTCAAAACTTTATCTGGCTTTATGTACATATTAAACATATATTTATCTTGCAATTTTTTGAAAAAAGAAACTAAAATTTATATACAAAAAAACCCACACACACAAAACACGAATCGAGATATTTTTTTTAAATAAAAGGTAACCTTATTCAAACAGGAATGAACTTTTCTGTATATTATTATACAAAGAAGATCCTCACTAGACCATAAGGCCGTGTGTTGACTTTGTTCAGGAGGAAGAGCTGAGGTGACAGGAGGTTAGAAGAGAATGCCTCTGACATTGGATGGAAGGGGACGGAGAGAAGGGAGGAGGGCTGGTCTGTGCACTTCCCCCGCCGGTCGGTCAGTCTTCTTCCCCTCCTCAAGAAGCTGCATGTGGCCTCCTTGCAGCGCCCCTCTCCCCTCGAGGGCTCCCAGAAGATTTAAACTAAGTGGCGATTGAGTCTCAAGGGCGAGGGGAGGGCCACTTCCTGGCGCGGCCGGTTTCCCAAAGCATTCCTGGGCTGCTACTTCTCCACCACCTCCTCCCCGCTGGGCACTTTGCGGTCTTCCGAAGAGATACTGTCCACGATCGAGGAGAGACAACGGAGGCTGCTGGAAGCCGAAAGAGTTACCACAAATGCAAACAGGGCCACCCAACTGCAGCTGGGCAAGCAGAGCATTCAATTGCAAAGAAATGGCGGGGCGGGGGGGGGGGGGGGGGGGGGGGAAGGCGAGGCACCCGTCCGGCCGGGTTACCCACAAAGCCCACGCCGTCTAGCCGACCACAGTTCTATGTGGTTGGCCGCAAGTGCCGCCGATATCCACCATGAAGCTGGCTCGCAAAGTGCTGGCCACGTTACCTGGTCGGTTGGCTTTCCCGTCAAATGGGTGAAGTTGCAGTCCCCGACCCAAACACTCTGCAAGGCCCTACACCGCTGAAGTCAGCAGGACTACTTTGAGAACTGTGGCCAAGAACCCACCCCATCATGCCAGTCTGTTTGTTTGGGGAGGGAGGGCATTAAAGTCACAGCTGACTTATGGCGACCCCGTAGGGCTTTCAAGGCAAGAGACGGACAGAGGTGGTTTTGCTACTGTCTGCCTCCGCAGGACGACCCCGGTATTCCTTGGAGGTCACCCGTTGACACACCCAAGTACTAACCCTGGCCAGCCCTGCTTAGCTTCCCAGATCGGGCTAGCAGAATAAAATAGGAGTCCAGGGGCGCCCTTGAGATTTGCATTTAATGTAGATTCAGATGTGTGGCCAGCCGTGTTGGTCTGAAGCAGCAGAACAAAGTCTGAGTCCAAGGGCACCTTTAAGACCAACAGAGTTTTCTTCAAGGTATAAGCTTTCGTGTGCACGCACACTGCGTCATTTAAACTCAGAATTAAATTTTGCTGATCTTAAAGGTGCCGCTGAACTCAAACTTCGTTATGCATTTAATGTGTATACTTATTTAAAAGTTTTATTTAAAAGTTTGTTAAACAGTTGAAATTGCTATGTGTTCAATGTATACACTTATTTACAGTTTAAATCACTAATGCGTTTTAAATTTAAGATTACATACTTTTACGTTTGCTTGTCTCAAGTTTGTTACCCTTGACGTTTCCACGGGACTCCTGTTTCATTCTGCTACGCGGTGGCGAGAGCGTTCCGCCTTCCCAGAGAGAAAGCTGGGGGGGGGGGGGCTGCCCCCCCCCGGGCAGCTCACGTGACACAGCCCTCCCCTTGTTTGCTCCGGAGTAGCGAGGCGAAATGGGGCGGCTACTCCAGACGGGCGGGGGGGTCAATGGCCCAGCCCGGCTCGTGTCTTGCAAGGGGCTCCGTCCGAGTCCCACCGAGAGGCTTTCGCCTCCGAGACCTTGTGGGCGCGCGGGAGGGGGCGCTCCGCAGGGTCAGCCGGCTTCAGCGGACAGCGCGCAACGCTCAGCCCGGTCTTGGAAGCCACGAGGAGCGCCGTCCCTTCCCGCGGCAAACGCCGAAAGGCGCGAGGGCGAAGCTCGACGGGAGGGGAGCCCTGAGCGGACCGCAGAAAAGGCCGGGCCCGGCGCTCGCCACCCTCCGGGTCCCGCCCGCCCGCCCGCGTTACCTTCCTTGGGGCTGAGGGGCCGCGCCCTGGAATGCTCCGAGCCGCTTGGCCAGTCGGCGCCGCAGGTGCTCAGGAAGTCGGGAGGGGTGGAGGGAGGGGGAGGGGGCGTCCCCTCTGGCCCGCCCCGGCCGGCCCCTTCTCCGGCGCGGAGGGAGGCGGCCGGGGTGGCGTCGGGCGGCAGGGGCAGAGGCAGGGGCGGCGGCGGCGCTTACGTGTCCCGGCTTGGGGCTGAAGGCGTCGGCGGCGGCGTCGGGGGTGAGGAGGAGCTGTTCCTGGCGCTTCTCCTGCTGGTCGAGGCGGTGGAGGAGGTCCTGGAGGCGCTCGATGTAGCTGATGGCGCTGCGCAGGATCTCCACCTTGGGCAGGCGCTGGTTGGGGTTGGCCACCGTCCGCCTCTTGAGGGCCTCGAAGGCCTCGTTGATCTTCTTCAGGCGCCGCCGCTCCCGCAGCGTGGCCGCCTTGCGCCGGTCGGTGGGCGCCGCTTTCCGCTTGCAGGTCTTGCAGGCCCAGATGAGGCACTGGCCCGGGCAGTGGGGCGCCTGCAGGCCCGGCGGCGCCAGGAGGTGCTGCTCCTCCCCGCCGCTGCTGCTCTCCCCCCCGCCGCCGCCGCCGCCGCCCTCCGGGGCCAGCTGGTCCGGGCAGGAGGAGGGCGAGAGGGTGCCGTCGCTGCCCGGGTAGAGCGGCGAGCCCTCGGCCATGTCCAGCGGCTGCAGGCCGCCATTCTCCCCGTCCAAGTAGAAGAAATAGGAGCCGGATTCGAAAAGGTCCATCATCCTGCGCTGGCCCGTCGCCTCTGCGCCGCCGCCGCCGCCGCCGCCTCCGGGAGGTGGGTGAGGAGGGGCTCCCCGAACAAGCCCCCGGAGAGATGCGGCCCGACGGCGGAATTTAATTAGCGCGGTGACATCAGGGGCCCCGGCCGCTTTATATATAGTAGGCGCTGAAACTCTATCCAACGTGGAGCTGTCGTGGTGCATCACCCTCCAGCGGCCCGGCCAACCAGCCTCCTCCTGGGTGCTGCTGGCCCGACACCACCATCTCCCAGAGTTAGAAGGGGGGAAAGAAAGGAAAAGGCACCCCTCCGACCCAGACTTCAAGATCCATGAGGGGCAGCGGAAAGAGAGAATGACAAAGTTCAGCCCATGTGGATTATTTGCGGTCCAGTATGTGTGTGAGATGGGGGCGGTTGGTTTCAGGCCAAAATACTAGGGCTTAGAATGAAAATCCCCTTTCCCTTCCCCCATCTGGACTAAGTATAGAACTCCGAGGGTATACTACATAGGCTGTAATGATTATATTTGCAAACATCTCTCTGCCTGTGTTTTTTTTTTTAACATGCCTTTCCTGTGAGTGACCCAAATCCATCAGGCCCTGCCCAGGGGTATAAAGTGACACAAGCACTGTTGTAGCCTGAACTTCTAGGGAATGCTGCCAAAGGGAAGAGCTCCAGCTTCAGCCTGTAGTGGTGACAAGAGGCCATCTGGGCCTGTCATAAGTGAAACTGTATTCCTGGCATCTTTGAGATGGTGCCTTACTTTCCTTTCTAACTGTGCTCTGCTTCTGAGCCTTCATGTCCAAGCCACAAGATGGGATCGGCATGCTGTGGATTTGTATGGAGTAGTGTTGGGATTCTTAATTCAAGGTCGATGGTTGTATTGCAAACACAGGAGCCACACTTAGTAAAAGAAAAATATCTTTACTATAAAAACAACATAAAACATGGGTATGGTACTTTGGATAAAAGAAATAAAATAAAAGGTTACATGCTTGTAGTTACTCTCAGTAATGTAGCTAACAGCTACATCTTTCTATCTCTCTTGGCTTCTAGAAGAGAACTACCTCTTTGGTTCACACAAAGGGCCATAAACTTGTGAATACATTAATGCTAGATCAAAGCATTTCTACAAACAAGATGTTAGTTGACCAATACAAAGGTTACAGGTCACTTCATTAGGCTAAACAACTCCCACAAACTTTCCCGCTGTTGAATACATTATGTAAGGTAACATCCTGTTTCCTAACAAACAACATTAAACTCTGTAATGACTGAAGTGTAAGCAACTTGCAGTTCCAACAAGTAGATCTTTACCTCTTTCACCATCTGTCAAAGCAGTCATAGAATTGTTCCAGCATGTATCCATCTTGCAATTCAACCCATACTTATTGTGCAACTATGAGCGGCTTGCAAGTGGCCATTTACCACGTGGTCACCACTCGTAAACCACATGCATCCATGCTTCACTGCTATGCAGGCATTTACCTGGGGTGGCAAGAAAACTGTATAACATTCTTCCCTCATCCCCTAGCAGATAAATTAAGCAGGTGCTCAACACAGTCAGCTACGAAAACGGTGGGGAGATATTGTACATGAATCCATGAGGAGTTCTTCTGTCTTTGTTATTTGGCAGAAGCATGATTGCCTCTCCACCATGCCTAAGTAAGCATCTGCACAAGGATTTTCAGTCAAATGATAGAAGTAATTTGGAAAGCATAGGATCGTGGTGGCTGAAGAGTTCCTCATGTTGGCAGTTTTAGTGAAAGCAATGACTTAGTGTGAAGCAGCCATGAAAAGGACAGTCTCCACATCAGGAATTGTTAGAGAAAGGATTGGAAATTTTAAAAAGATCATATCACAATGCCAGGGTATAATTCGTTACAATTTACAGATTTATACCATGTTTGGAATACTTCACACTACCGCAGACCAACATGGCTGCCCTCTGAAACTAACTAAGGGCAATCACTGCCACGAGTTGTAATGGACAGCAGCAACTTGCTTACATGACCTTAAAAGGGAACTATAAAAATTTAAGGAGGACAGGTCTGTCAACAGCTTTAACCTGATGGCTAAATGAAACCTCCACAATCAGAGGAAGTGTACCTATGGAGATAAATTACTGGTGGGGGAGAGCAGGGAAAGACTGTTTGCTTTTATGTGTTGCTTTCAACAGGGATCTTGACTGGCCTCTGTTGGAAATAGGATGCAAGACTTGGTGAACGTCTGGACTGAACCAGCAGGGCTCATTACTTTCTGGTAACAGAAGTCAGAGCTTATACTACGAATATCTTGTTGGTCTTGAAGCTGCTACTGGACGTGAATCTAGCTCTTCTTCTGCAGACCCACACAGCTACCCTCTGAAGCTATTTTCTGATGATAGGAGATGGTCTGAGAATTCTGTTTGCTTTGATATGCCCATTCAAACATGAAAGTTATCTCTAGATTTTTCAGACATTAAATGATCAATGTACATGTGAACCAGCCTTTTTTTTGGTGAAGTACATGCAGTGTGTTGTACCCAACCAGCAAAAGTAAGTTAAGTTTTGTATCATTCTACAGATTTTAAATCTGTTGTGGATGTCCTGTCTATAGTTTTGAAAACATGGTTGAAGTTGGAAAAATTCATTTTTAAAACATTGTTTCCCTATACGAAGAACAAAGGGATGGTCTGTTTTCCTATTATTATTATTATTTTTAAAAAGATATATACAAACTATTACTGTATTGGAATTCTTCCCTGGCCATTTGTTTTTACTAACTGGATACCAATTATACTGGTTTTCCCCACATCTCAAAGGCAATAGGCAAGAATCTGGCAGGACATCAAGAGTTAATTTTAGGAAGTTACCACTGCTGGTTGATCTTGGATTATCAGCAGTGTTCCCTCTAAGATGAGCTAGTGTGAGTTAGCTCACAGTTTTTGAGCCTCCAGCTCACACATTTTTGTCTTAGCTCAGGAAGGATGGCTCCAAAGTGAACTAATTTATGCAGTAGCCAAATCGCTCACTCACAACTTTAATGCCAGTAGCTCACAAAGTAGAATTTTTGCTCACAAGACTCCATAGCTTAGAGGGAGCATTGGTTACCAATAGTGTGATTTTGAACAGTGGGCAAGGAGGTTTTGGTACCTGTACAAGCTCAGACAACGCTCTTAGGCAGCTGGATCACACAAAGATACATTCGTTTTAACAGTGCAAGCCTGACTTCAATGTATTTAGAATGCTCCCTCTAAGCTGTGGAGTCCTGTGAGCAAAAATTCTACTTAGTGAGCTACTGGCAGTAAAGTTGTGAGCAAGCGATTTGGCTACTGCATAAATTAGTTTGTTCTGGAGCCATCCTTCCTGAGCTAAGACAAAAATGTGCGATCTAGAGGCTAAAAAACTGTGAGCTAGCTCACATTAACTCAGCTTAGAGGGCACACTGGAAGGGAGTATGTCTGCTTAGGGACTGCATAGTAAATCTCCTTGCCCAACAGCATTGGATACTAGAGGGTACACATTCAAGCTGTGCAGTGGAAACTGACCCTGAGTACAGTGAGGACATCATCACTGAACATAAGATTTTGCTTGATTCAATAGAAAATTCTGTTCCGATAACACCTTCCACTTACTTTTTTAAATGTGGTTCGGTTGGAGGGGGTAGATATATTGGATAGGATACTTCATCACTAAGTGGACTTGGTACATATTTATTGGAACTGACTTACAGTTACTAAAGTTCTGGCATGAATTGGATCATTGTATTTTATTTTGTGCAGATTTATATTATTTTTTCTTTCTGTCCTATGTGTAGCTAAAGATGTCAAAGATGTTTATACCTCAACACTGGAATTCTATCTGCTTTGCTGTTACTGAAGAGGGGACCTCAGGGTGTAAGAAAAAATGTCTTATAATAGGAGAAATAGCCCTGAAGCTTACACTTTTATTTTGCAAAAAATTATGGATTTATCTCAAAGCTCATGTCTGTTCCATTAATTCTGAACTGGTCTACCCTTTTCTCTCATCCTTTACACACACACACAGCGTTTTTGTTTTTCTTCATACTGGTTTGGTCCTTCCTGCTTCCTAGCTAGCAAACTAGCTTATGATCTAATTTGTAGGTTGGGAGCTGGGATCTTGTTTTTGTTATTTATTTTGTGTACCGTGCAGATGATAAAAATGCAAAAGAAATAAAAATGAATAAAATTTTTATGTGGAAGAAGAGATTACGCAGAGTGATTTTTTCGTTAAAGTAATCAGTGCAAGTTAGACATGTGTGCTGTACATCTCCAAGTATCATATTTTACATCCTTCCTCAACCATTCACTGATGCAGAGTGTTGTGTGGACTGTCACTCGGCACATTTTCTTGGGGACATCACACCATATTAATTTCTATTTATACATGAAAGTTCTATAGTTGTTGTTCTAGCACCTCTATGCTTAATTTTAACAAGAAGTATCATTACAAGGCCTGGTTCAACATGCAGAAGTCAAAAAGCTTCCTTCAGCATCTAAACATGATGGTCTGGAAATAAGGATAGGTTGCTTACCTGTAACTGTTGTTTTTTATGTTGTTAGTCTGTTCATCCACCTTGATGGGCTTTGTGCCTGCGCTGAACATCAGTTTGGAAACTTCTGGAGATAGCATTTAGGTATTAAAAATCATCTCCTTTCATAGACACAGCTTCATAAGAACATAAGAACCCCCTAGATTAGACCAGTGGTCCATCTTGTCCAGCATCTTGTTTCACAAAGCAGCCAACCAGTTGTCCTGGACAGCCAACAACAGTGCACAGAGGCTGAGGCTTCCTCCTGATGTTGCCTCCCAGCACTTATACGGATGTGCCCTTCAGTCACCATGGCTATAGCCACTGATGGACCTCTTCTCCATGGTTTTGTCCGACTCCCTTTTAAAACTCTCTATACTCATAGCCATGACTACCTCCTCTGGTGGTGAATTACTTGTTGTGTAAAGAAGTATTTCCTTTTGTTTGTTCTGAATATATTTGTCAACAATTTATTTCCCTGAGTTTCTAGTATTATGGGAGGAGAAAAAGAAAAATCTTCCTCTATCTGCTTTCTCCATGCCATGCATAATTTTACAAACCTCTATGATGTCTCTCCTTAGCTGTCTTCTTGGAGAAGAGGCAAGGGAAAAGTGTAAAGAGAGCAAATGGTGAATAATGCAATAATGAAACACAAGCATGATGTCATCCTACTGACTTGAGACAGCCAATAAATGTAGAGCAAGGATAGGGAGATGGACATTGTGATGACTTTGATGTCATACTGCACATGACATACTGCGTAGTGCTGCATGTTATGTGGCAGAAGAGGAGAA